CTTCTCTTGTCTCCTTCATCTTTTATTTTTCGATTATTTTTCTCATCGTTTTATCTGTTATTTCAATTCTTTTAATTTATTTTTCTTTTTTAAATTCGTTTTTTCTTTTTTTAATATTTTGTTTTTTTTATTTTATCTATTTTTTCGATCGCTTTTTCTAATTCAATTTTTTTTCTTTTTTTCAGATTTTTTATTTCATGTTAATTTCTTAATCGCCATTTATTTCGTTTTTTTTTTTTATCTATCATTATTTTTTCGATCGCCATTTATTTCATTTTTTGATTTTTTTTATCTATCGTTATTTTTTTTTATTTCTCGATCCTATTTATTTCATTTTTTTCTTTTCTTTTTTATTTCTCAATCTCCTTTATTTCATTTTTTCCTTTATTTCTCAATTCCGTTTATTTCATTTTCTATTTTTTTTATTTCTTAATCCTGTTTATTTCATTTTTTCTTATTTCTCAATCCTATTTATTTCATTTTTTTTTTATTTCTCGATCCCGTTTATTTTGTTTTTTTCTTTATTTTTCGATTCCATTTATTTTGTTTTTTTCTTTATTTTTCGATCTCATTTATTTCATTTTTTTATTTTTTTTTATTTTATAATCCTGTTTATTTTATTTTTTCTTTTTTTTATCTATCAATATGGCTTTGGCTGCTCCTACTATTGCTCAATTTGAATGGACCGTTGACGTTGCAAGAGAATTAATTTGTTTAAGACACAATAATCATGACGATTTTAAGTTCATTCCAAACAATCGCCATGAAAGAATATAAAAAACCATATCCAATCAATTGTTTATTAATAGAGGGTTTGCCGCTTCTCCCTCACAATATCGAAGAAAATGGTACTCATTAAAATATGGATACAAAAATCTCAAGAGGTTAGAAGCTAGGGAGAATCCCTATGACTTACCAATAACAAACCCAATTTTGCATGATCAGATATTTCATGCAGAATTGGATGACGAATTTTAGCTTTGAACTGATAATTATTTATTGAATAATAGTAATAAGAAATATATTTTTTACTTTTTAAAACTTCAATTTTTTAATTTATTTATTTATTTTTTTTATTATTTTTAAACATAAATCATTATCGATATAGAAGACAGAATGTAAATCACCGCTAGTACCAGTACTGACATAAATCTCGTTCTTGCCAGGATTGTAAATCCTATTCTTGTGATCATTCTCAGAATCATAGATCCCATTCTCACCGTCATCATTCACAGAATCATAGATCACATTTCTGCCGTCATTCAAGAGATCATAGTTCCCATTCCTGAAAATACAAAAGAAGGTCATATTCTTTACAAAGGAGAAGTTTTTTACCAAGAAGGCATTAATTTTTATTTTTTTTTTAATAATTTTATTTTTATTTTTATTTTAATTTTTATTTTTTATTTTTTATTTTAATTTTAATTTTTAATTTTTTAATTTTAATTTTAATTTTTAATTTAATTTTTTATTTTTTAATTTTAATTTTTATTTTTATTTTTATTATTATTTTATTTTTTAATTTAATTTTTTTTTATATATATTATTTTTTTTTATTTTATAATAAATTTTTTTTTAAAAAAAAAAAATTATAATAGTGTTACAATGCCTAGATAATTACACAAATTAATATTACTTACCTTTTTAATTTATTGCATAATCATAATTAAAAATTCTAATCTAATTAAATATCAATTATGTATAATAATGACAATTTGATAGTATAAAACAGATTTGTCATTTTTTTTGATCATTTTCATTTTGGTATATTTTTTCATTAAATTTAAACGTTGATAATAAAATCAAATGTTAAAAATACCTAATACTTTATAAACAAGTATATCAGACTGTAGCGTTATATTATCTGAATTCTGTTAAATTCATAAATTACCAAACCCTAAATACGTTTTATGTTCTAATGATGAAAAGTCTTATTAGTTTGACTGTATAATTAAAGAACACATCATCTTCGCTTTAAAATATATTTTTATTAATATGTTGTTGCTATTGACATATCACATTCAGAATTTTCAATTTCATCTATTTCATCTTC